ATGTCGGTTGCAACCCATTGAGAAACGAAAGTTGCCCAGTCTGCTGATCCCACTGTGCAGGAGGACAGAACAGTGTGTTCGGGTCCTGAAAGCGAAGGATTTCCAGCGTATAGTCAATCTCATCAGATACAGCCCACCCAGGAAATCGGTGATAGACCAACAGTCTTGCAGCGATGCGCCTGGGGGAGCAAGGACAATAGTACGATGAGGAGGTTCTGGAACGCCAACAACAAGTGGCGGTTGTTGAACTGGCTGTCCAATGCTTTGCCTCCGAGCTCTGAACCACAGAAAATTCTTGCGAAGTCGAACTGCGAGATAGCCAAGCTGGTGTGGCATACCATTTGACGTCCAATCCTCGATCGAGCATTGCAGGCACACTTCAATCGTTTGGATGTATTGATCAGGAAGTGGATACTGACGGGAAACATCAGGAATCTCGTCGATGAGCTGCAATGCCTCAAACCATCGCTGAAGGAGGGTCCACCCACACAAGCGGGGCGTGTAGTTGGTGAGTTCGGTTCTCACCTCAATCCGATGAGGAGCAATGTCAAGCAGCCTTGCCATGATGAAGGTGGCACGAGTGACATAGTCCTGTGGAACTTGCAGCATGATGACAGTGGCCCTGTCACCCTGACGACGGACTTCACAAGCCGCCCAGTGATCCCGAAGAAGGACGGGGATGACCGTGATGGAGTTGTTTAAAATGTGCACCTCTGTTCCATCATCTTCAAAGTTGGGCTTTGTGGAATCCCAGCAAAATGATGCGTCCTCTGGCTCCACTGAATGGTTTGAGTGATGGCCAACATTTCATCAGTGGCAAGCCATCCATTTGTATTGCACAAAAATTCGGCTCTCTGGTTGAAATCTGCTCCTTGTGCAAGCCGTGGTGGCGGGCCATTGGCTTCATGGTGCCCCTCTGCATGGATATGGCTTGTTTCCGTAAGGGGGAGAATGCGGTCAGCAGGCCAGTCCTCAATCTGAGGGGTTCCACAGATTGCAAGATCAGACCCATCTCTCGTGAAATTGATGTTCCGGAGGCATGAAATGTCAACTTGGACAAGATGGAACTCCCCCGTCTCACGGATATGGACAACTCGGCCATGTGTCACTTCCAAGGGAATCACAAGGTGGGTGCAGTGGTTACCACCTGTGTGATCACCGCTCGATGTGAAGGTCATGCCACCAATCTGTGACTGGATCACGTTTGCCATGATTTGAATGTTGTCGATCGAATCCCAACACTGAAAGTGAAATCCAATGTCATACTGAACAATCACCAGAGTTGCGGAGGGCACACCACTGTTGCTCGAAAGACCTTTGCAGAGGTCGGAAAGATTCAAAACCACCTGATCTGCGAAATGATGTCAAAGTCGAGCCTTGGGTTGATGTGGATTGTTTGCTGAGGCGCAAAGGGCAAAGTCGGTGAAATTTCGATGATCTCGGTCGGACAGATGCGAGAGAACTGGCATTGACCAAGACAAACGGAGGCCAAGACAATGTGCCAATCATGTGCTTGCTCAACCAGAAGGCCAATCGGCATGGTCATGCTAAATTTGGCATCATCGGCTCGAAAGTAAATCTGCTTAACAAGTTCATTCGGTCCACGAAAGTGCTGCAGCAGAAAATCAATGGCGGAGGTCTCGGCGCTGACATGCAAACAGAAGTCACAGGACAGAAAAGTGCCCTCGCAACAAAACCCTTGGCTCAAAGGGACACTGGAGCGTTGGTCAACTGAAATCCACTCATGAACCTCTGATGCTCTACTCAAGTGAACGAAACCTTGGTGCTCAAAAAGGACCGAATTATGAGCCTGGCACCTTGACCCAACTCTTTCGGACCAAGTGCAATGGGTCCACCGACAGTTGGCCAACAGCATGCCACACCTAACGAAAGGACAGCCTGAGGGACGGAAATCGCATTGCCAACAATACGAAAGGCTTCGGAGACCTTGGTGGGCAAGACGACATGGGACTGCGCGCCAAACAAGGAGCAAAAATGTCCTGGGTCGAAAAACTCGAATCCATTGGCCGTTCGTCGAAGAAAGGTAAACAGTCCCCTAGTCTGAACATGTCGTGGCGCCAACAAGTGCTGAGCCGAGTAAGATGCGCATAAGGTCGGAAGCGGTTGATCCGTCGGTGGCGCCCTCTCCCAAAGAACCTGGTCATTGGTTGTTGGGTCATCGCTCTTCGGGGCTCTTCCAGTTCTTGGCAGGATCATTGTAAATCGCGCACTCCGAGTCTGTCAGGCACAGCTGGGGCCGCCAAACCTGACAGACACCAAATTGTGGTTGGAGGGATCATCCCACGGGCATCTAGGAGAGTGCCGAAGTGTAAAAGTAAATCCAACGAACAGTGCTTCGATGTCAGATCGGCACCATGCGGAAAGCCAGCGTGTTCTGAAGTGGTGTGCCATATGGTGCAAGGAGGTTACCTGCGTCCAAACTTTCTTATGTCCTAGAGATCGAAAAAGCAAGCCCACAAATCGGAAGTGGTCATGTTCAACGATTTCGTCTGCGCATTCTGCGGCAATGCAGATGGGTTGAAGCACACAAGCCAGTTGAATGGCGTCTACGAATGCCCAGCCGTTTAAATCGCCGAGGCCAAGGTGTTTTCCACCTTTGGACCACGACTGGCAAGGCGGAGACATGGTAAAACATAAATTCGACTGCGCTCGAATCATGTTCGCCAGAGACCAGTCGGCCACTGAGCCATGCACCCCCACATGCTTCTGAGATGGCCAAGGCTCTGACCAATAGTGGCTTGCTCGTATGCTTCACGCTCCAGAGCTGCATGACTTGTTCGTTGATGTCAAGCTCAAATTCCTGGCCTAAGCAAAACGCAGCCTCAGTACGGTCCAAAAAATCAGCAGCTTGGGCCCATCCCGAATAGGCACCAGCGAAGCTATGGAACATGTTCCAAGGCATCAACTTGTCAAACTCTGGTCGGAAAGTGACGACATCATCCTCATGCTCAATGTAGTCTTGCTGGTTGCAGGAAGGAGTACCTGCGCAAAGGATATGCGCCCCAGTTGACAGGCTGATGGAGCGATCAGCCAGGTGAGGAACCTTCACTGTCATCTTGGATTCCAAGGGTCTTCCACTATCAAAGCCGACGGACGGCCGGAAGGGAAAAACCCCCAGTGTCACAAAGTCACCCACAACGAGCTCCACTTCTCCAGCAGTCAGAATACGGGAGCCAAGCATCAGCGTTGGTCCAGAATCAGCAAGGCCGGAAAAGAGGGACACAAGGTCAGCTTTGAGCGGATCATCCAAGATGCTACCAGCCAGTGACAAAGCATCCTCAACCGCCATGGCAAAGGTACTCGGCACGGATCACGAGAGCAAAAGGTCACGAAACCAAGGGTGGGAAGCTTTTGGGCGATCCCTCAAAGGCAATTTGCGTTCCGACTGTACTGTATCCCGACTGTGTGGTCACAAGGTTCCTGTTGGAGTGTTTTTCGGGCTAACGCATTCCGCAGACATGCGCGCCACGCCGTTGTCTGTCGGTTCGATTTCGACTTGAGCCTTTGGCCTCTTCTCCTTTTGAAGACCTCCAGGATCTGGTGGTTCTTACTTGCGCTCTTAGGAAATGGTAACCTAGGCCGGCGTGTGGCAAACCGCTTTCAAGTCAGTATGCATTTCTTTATAAGTGTGTCTCTCCTCGTGAGAGCCGGGGTGCCCCGAGGAGTGGCCCCGTCGAACGGGGGTTTGTCGTTGTTCCCCCGGCCTGGGAACGTAGGTGTCCGAAGCGGACAGCAGGAGGCTTACGCCAAAGTTATTTGCCAAGACTTGCTGAACTATTGAATTCCAAGCTGGCTCATGCCTTTACGTGGCCACAGCGGTCAAAGCTGCCAGCCATTTTGGCACGGCGTACGTGGCCGCAGCGGCCGAAGCAATTTAGGGTTGGTTGGGACTCGTCGCTGCCTTGATGCACGCGCAGCACGTACTTTTTTAACGAGGTTTGCCTAGGTGCATGTGTCAAATGAGGTTTGGCTTCATCGGTTCTCGCCCCCTCCGTTTGGTTCCCCTTTTTCATCCTTTCCCCTTCGCACACTTCTGTTTTCCTCTTTTCTTTAATGTCTTCCAGTCTTCATGTTCTGTCATTTCATCGCTTTCCTTCTTTTGCGCACACACGGCCCGGCCCTTAGTTTGTACGCGTGCAACCTATTTTAAACTACTCTTTAGGTCGCCCACGTTTTTACAATGAGGTGGGATCTCATCGGTTGTCCCTGTGCACTTGGCTCCCTTTCATTGCAACCGCGCACACCTTTGTCCCGTCTTCTCCTCTTCGTGTCTTCATTCTTTTGTCTTACTGCGCGCACACTTACACCTTTGCCCTGACCTTAGTGCTTCTCGCCTCCCCTCGGGGGGGCGTGTGTGTGTGTGTGTGTGTGTAACCTTTGGAGTTGGAATGTTTGTATAAGCAGGGGGCAGTAGCCCACTCATGAGTCTACTGCCAACGAAGCTGCTCATGAGTTGGGAGGATATCGGAGCGGATCACTCCGACGTACCTGCTATGTTTGTGGTGTTCTTAAGCTGTGACTCTCATTTTCTTTAAAGGGCTTACGCATTCCGCAGACATGCGCGCCACGCCGTCATCTGTCGGTTCGATTTCGACTTGAGACTTGAGCCTTTGGCCCCTTCTCCTTTTGAAGACTTCCAGGATCTGGTGGTTCTTACTTGCGCTCTTAGGAAATGGTAACCTAGGCCGGCGTGTGGCAAACCGCTTTCAAGTCAGTACGCATTTCTATAAGTGTGAGTGTGTGTGTGCGGGTGGGTGGGTGGGTGGGTGGGTGGGTGTAACAATGTCACCACTGGTCTGCCTTTCTGGACAGTCGGTATTTAAGTTTGGCAGACAAGACTTGATTTTTATTGGGTTAATGGTTAGCCATCAATATTTTTTCCTATTTTCTGTCTATTCCGGGTCAACAAACATACAGGGGTTGCAGAATATCTTCGACATTCCAATGTTTGCAGACGCACTTGAAGCTTCCCCCCCAAGGCTGTGATCTTTCTGAACGCAATCTGGATGTCAGTGGACACCGACAACAACCCAGCGGCAGTACTTGTTGATGCGCCCCCCATCTTCATCGTCACTCGTTCTTGCTTGTCATCTCCTGGGTCGGACTAGCCAGGTGATATTTGGAGGAAAGTGTTGGTGTGTAGCCTGTGTTGGAAAGTCAATAAGAAGATATACAGAATATCTATATATATATTATATACACCCAAAGTGACCATTGACCATTGTAATTTTTTCCAACTTTGCAAAGAGACACAGCACGTGAGGTGCGTCGAGACAATGAGTGACTTTTTCCTCAGAATGCTCAGGTGATGGAGAACTTGTTCTGCTTGTTTTTCACGACTGAGCTCTTGATCCGTTTTGTTGCTTTTGCCGCTCGGCTGAGCAGCTGAACAAAGAGCCGCTGCAATGCATGGCGTTTGATCAGTTGACATTGGCCGGGCCAAAAACCTTTACAGCAAACCTGATTCCCCTTCCACACTTTGCTTTAAGGCAACAGGGCAACAGCCACTGGGGCAAAGCCTCTTCGGTTACTGGGGCAAAGGTTCTTCTCGCCCCAAAAGCAGGTCGAACTTTGTGAAGAGTCAGTAGGGAAGGCCTTACACTTCGGCAAGCTTTGGCCTCAGGACAGGAAGCGCGACTGCTGCAGAGATTTTTGGTTTGTTTTTGATTGCGTGATCAACATCTACATGATTGGTGAAACGTGGCTCGGAGTGACGAAGCGCAGAGTACAGTTGAAGGCATGTTCGGATTTGTTCGAACTTGTTAGATGTCAAGTCCCGGGTGAGTTGCTTCAACCAAGCCACGAACATCTCCCGTTCTGTTTCTTTTCGGCTTGATCGCATGGGTCAAAGCGGTGTATTTGATGATGTTAAGCAAGCACGGTGCTGCATTGCCCAGACATGCACAGTGACCTTTTTGAGCCGCGGTCAGGTGGATCCTGTCGCTGATACTTCTACTCAGTGACATGACCACAACTGAGGCCGGATGTGGGAGATGTAAGGATGTCTCAGGTTCCGTGCAAGTCTCCCAAGCGATTTGGATGCCTTTGCTGATGATAGTACCAAAGGTACCAAAGCCTTGAGACATCTCCCAATTCATTTAGAATGTCAGAGTCTGCTAGAAATGCAAACTTGTAATTTAGGGTGTTCCTCCTCTGCCACGTTCAGAGGTGCAGCACGCCAGTTTGGCAATTAAACAAGACACGCACACACACACACATGCTCGCATCCGCGTGTTCTCATCAACGCCTTGACCAAGGCGTTGTTTGATGCCTCAGCTCTTCGCATCATTCGCAGCTCGGAGTGCCACTGGAGAACCAGGGCGGTGCGAGGTTCACGTTCATTGGCGCCTCCTGGGTTTTGCGTCAACCACACCAGTCCGCTTGAACCACCGTGCGCCTGCTTGATGACAACAATGGGTGACTCCAACATGACCAGAGACATGAGCAGAGACCGAAAGCCAAAGCACACACACAATTACTACGGTCTTGGGAAGGAATCCCCCTTCGCAAGCATCATACATGGATGTAGATGGTCTTTTTTAATCGTAGGAACCTGACCAGATGTATCAACTACAGTACCTGGTGGTTCACATGCCCACCTTTGAACCCTCAACCTTTGAAAACGAGAGGGGCGCAGAGACTTGCCAAGGAATGGTGAAGATTCTACGTTTGTCGCGTATGGCGAAACTGTTGAGAGCAATCCCGGAGCTGAGCATAGCCGCTTGGCATCCTTTGGTTCGATTTTCTGTCCGGACATGGCGCTTGTGCGAGCACACGAAGCAATTCCAGCATCCGAAGCATACATGTGGTACAACATGAAGACATAATGTGGATTGTGTGGAAGCTGACAAAATGTAGTTTTTTCCATGCCAAAATTGTGGCCAGAATCCACGCCCAGTTTTCTCGACCACCCAAATTGCGGGCTAAGGCTTTGGCCCATCATGGGGTTCCCTCGCATCAAAGTGGTAAAGCAAAACCACTTCTATCATTCTCATGTTGTTCGCGCATTTGTGCAGGTGATCAAAGCAATCGGAGCAGCAGGACGTTCCATGTTGGACCCTCGACGCATTTGGGTGGCATCGATCTGTGTGGGGTGCCTGGCGCAGGGCAAGCTTGGTGCGGCACAGATGCCTTTGAACTAGAAACACAGCAAGAATCTTAAAGCATAGTGTCAGCCATTGAGAGAGATCATCAACGCATGAATTATATAGTTAGACTATCCTAGGCTAAGGCCTTCGCCCTCCTGTCAAAGTTGGTTGATGTGTGTCCCGGCTCCACTGAGGTGATTGCAGTGTTTTGCTTGATGGTGGTTTATGTCTTTGCTTTGACCTTAAAGCAGATCACGCTGATTGTGCCTTGGTGACGTTAGATGCACTGAGAAGATGTCAACGTCTTCTATCTTGAGATGATAGGAGTTGTAAAGTTTCACTGTGAATTTATCAGCTGTGATGATGGGTCGCCAACTGCAGCTCCTCTTGGAGCCCCCCAAACTGACTTTCAGCCTCAAAGACCTTGTTCAACAGCGAGAATCACCAGCCTTGAGGTGAATACTGATCCCACCGACCCCAGCATCGCTGCTGATTTCAACTCTGTGCTCTCGGCTATGAAGCTTGGAGGGGAATGGACTGAAGTTCAAGACACATATGAGTTGGCAATTCCGAGCTCTATTTCATACATCCACACAGCTCAAGGTGCTTGTTTGTATCGAACGAAACCAACTCCATAGGCTGGCTATGCATGGACAGTGGGCCCAACATCGTTTGTCAGCATTTTCCAGATTCAGTCGCTTTCTAACTGTGCTCACATTTGAATGGCACCTTGCAAAGACAGGAGGCCGTGCACAGGGCCACCTGACCCACGTGCCTGAACTAGTCAACAACTTTGCTTGCTCTTTTGTTTCCTCAAGCAAATGTTGACACTTACCTGCCAGTCTCCCTTCACGTCCACAAATCAGTCTTGCATTGGTCACTGTTTTGGCACTAAGGAACGCACTTCTGCTGAGGAGCTTGTTTTCAGACAGCGCAACATTGCTTAATGGAAGGAATGACATTGAAAAGAAACCATAAGCGCATGTGCTTGGGAGCTGACCATTTGGTTGTTTGTGACAAAGCACGACCCAACTTAACCCCAATCAGCAAGCAAAGAATATTGGCAGGAGATGGCAGGAGCTTGTTTTGCCTCAGTTTCAGTTTATGTTATCATCAGCTGAGGCCGACCTGGTGAACGGCCTATCTAACTGGCATCCTGTCCCCTAGCATTGGGGATTGGCAAGATTTGGATGTTCTTGATTGGATGATAACATAATTTGCCCAGCGTACTTGCTGTTGTTTTTTGTTTGTTTTGGCATGCAAGCTTGCTCTTCCTTTGCAATCAATACTGCAGGTGATGCAGTTAGTGCAACAGCATCCCTGAAACCATAGCAGACTATGCCCAGCAATCGTTTTTGCTTCGATTTAGCAAGTTTGATGCAGTTTTTTGTGGTTGCGATTCCCACTACAATGCACTACAGCAGTACAAGGTGTTCTGGCCTTGTATCATGCTCTTTGTGCTGATGACCTCCGCCATTTGTCGGCAGATGAGAACAGGGAAGAGACCAGGTTTGATGCGTGCTTTGCTTTGGACAAAGTTTGTACCCAACTCATGATGGTTTTAATCCATGGATGTGACAATGCAGCCTTTGGACAGATCGATATCACAAAGCAGTTGAGATGATCCCTATCAATTACGACTGTTTGATTTGGAGCAACGTTCCTCCTAGTTCTAAAGGATGGCGCTTCGATGCATTTTCACGGACATCCGAAGACTTTTCCGTTTTGGCGTTTTCGCGGAGCCTCAGGTCACCATGATGTACATGCTCATGGGTGTCATGGTGACATGGCAGAAAACGTGTGTGAGCGTAGTTTCAATCAGGAACAGTTGCATTTCGATAGGACAGTTCTTCTACAAGTTTACCCGAGTCTTGAGCCAAGTAGTCTGGCCAGTCTGGAGAGGTTAAATACCCTCTGTTGAGATTTGGTACGCCGTGTTACACGGTGTGTTCAAGATCAGCAAGAAGGCTGCCTCTCCGACCCTTCCGACCATTCCCTCTCTCCACAAGAAATGAGGTCAACGTCATCGACATCGTGGCGGCCTCGGAGCGCGAGGGCCTGGCAGTCTCCACGGTGGCCTCATCCCTCCGGCAGGCCGAGATGGAGACCGAGGGTAAGGGTCTGGGAACTAGGCATAAGCAATGTGACCGATCATGTCTACCATCCACAATCCCACAGACTTCATTAGTGTCGTGGCTGTTTCGGCCAGTGGCACGACACTTTCAGAGTTGTCCTTTGTAGATGCGCTGAGTGCTGTAGATGCGTCCACCAAGTTACAGCTGGTGGAGAACATCCGTTGAGCACCATTAGCGTTCGTTGTTGCAAAGCTGCTACAAAAGGGTACCTACATAGAGAAAAATCCATGCATAAGGACACAATCTAGTGCTACTGACACGTACTTTTGTCCCGAACACCTTCAGCCCATTTCAGCTCAATGCCTGAACAGTATACATATACATATATATATATATATGCAAGAAGTACACCACTTCTTCAGGTACACTCATCGAACATAGATTCGTGAGCTTTTGGGATCGAGGGAAAGGTCGCTCGTGTTTGTCAGTCGCTCGTGCCACTGCCGTCGAAGAGCCATCGCCTCTCACCACTTTGTGCTTGAGAACTCCGGCTACCGTGCATGGTAGCGGAGCCTGCGGGCTCCGCCGCCTGATCGATCCAGGGCATTTGTTTTGTCTGCAACCGCATAGGGCCGCTGCAGAATCATGGTGGACCGGGGTTTGTTGCAAGTGGAACGCACCAAAGAAGGTGTTCCTATTTGGGATGGCAATGCTGCCACCTTTCAGGAGTATTCAGAGCTGGCACAACACTGGGAGCAGAGTGTGGCACATCACAAAAGATATTTATGTGGACCTCGCCTTCAATCAGAGTTGACAGGCACAGCACGTCGATTTGTGATGTCCATGAAGCCCGGCTGGATTTCCTACGCAGGAGGCGTGCAACGTCTCTTAGATCATCTGAGAAAGCATTTGGGGCAACCTCAGCTGACCGAGATGTCGGAGTACTTGGGGAAGTACTTCAAGCAATCACGCCGCAAGCGACATGAGTCTATGAATGACTACATCACACGAAAGGGGGAGATCTATGCTCGAGCATGCCAAACACTGCACCGTGTGTCAGGCCGCTATGCACGTGAGGTTGGCCCAAGAACCGGAGGTGCCACCTCACAACACACCTGGAATGGTTGGCAACAGCTACATGGAGGCCATTCTGACCATACCGCTGGAATGTCCGGGGGGTCACTGCCACCGGAGAATGAGGAGGAAGAGGAGCAGTCCTTTCATGACGCTGCAGAATCATGGGAGCACTATGATTCATGGGGAGCGCCTGATTGGAATAGTGGTTCCTGGGGAAATCCTCATTCCAACAGTTGGAGTGACTCTGCATGGACGAGGCCATGGAACACCAGCGGGCAGGAGCCTGCGTGGGAGAAGGAGATCACGGAGTTGATCCCCACCTATGTCCAAGGGTGGTTTTTATTGCAAGACGCAGGTCTTGATGCTCAGGAGAAGAACTTGATCCTCACCGCATTGAAAGATGATTTCTCAGTTGAGCGGGTCGCGCAAGAACTACGCAATCAGTGGCCTGATCAAGACCTGAAGCACAAGGACCAGTCTGGCAAGAGCACCGCTTGGACCGTGGACGAATGTGATGAGCTTGAAGAAGCTTCTTGTGTGGACCGCCAGGGCCCAGACCTGTCCTGCCTCGTGAACTCAGGCCTCAACGATGAAGGCCTGTCAATTATGGAAGAAGCTGAACAGGATGCCAATGAGGCCCTCGCCATGATGGACCATGGACGCAAAACACTGCGTGAAGCTAGGGCCAAACAGCATCAGGTCAAGATGAGCCGCCAGTACTACAAGACTGATCGAATCAGTGTGAAGCCATCTTTTTCCAATCGACCTGCTGCCTCGTTAGCTTCCATCAAGTGTTTGAATTGTGGTGTGCTGGGCCACAAAGTGGCACAGTGCCCAAAACGTGCACTCAATCAGACGGCCAGTGTCCGTGAAGCCCAGACCGCCGAGAGCGCACCATTTGTTTGCAGTGCGACGGATTTGGACTCCGCCCATGTCGCATCCGGCGGTTTGACCACCCAAGAAGCCGTGTCCAAAGGTATGGCCATTTTAGACGGTGGCGCCACTCGCACCTTAGGATCTGTCTCAGCGGTTGAGAAGCTCATGGAACTCAACCAAACAAAGACTGGCCATGATGGTGTGACCCGAATTGACCACACCATGAGGCCAACGTTTGGATTTGGGAATTCGTCCAGCGACAAGTGTATGTCGACAGCGTGGCTGAGCGTACAGGCCGGTGGCCGCGGAGGTGAGCTAAAGGTTCACACTTTAGACCGCGGCCATAGTCCTATTTTGTTTTCCATTGAAACTTTGAGATCCCTGGGAGCGCTCATTGACTTCGAACACGATCTTCTTGTTTTCAGGAAGCTTGATCCGACCCGTGTGATCAGCTTGGAGCGCTCCTGTACGGGTCATCAACTGCTGCCTCTGAGTGATGATTGGTTCTCGCATGCCAAAACGGCAAAGAACCCAGTCCCTAGCCTAGAGCACTACATCTAGGGACAACTCCTCCCTGACTCCATGTCCGCAGAGGAAAGGGAGGGGCTTAGCAGCGTGGCGGACCCAGAGGCAGACCTGATCTCAGACCAACCCACCAATGATGTGATCATGAGAGAGAGTGTTTTTGAACCTGTTTTTAGTGTTCCGGTTTTTGAGAGTAATGAACACAAACCTCGAATCGAGACTCGACACATCGGTGAACAACAAACATCGACCACCAGCAGCATCACTTGTCCAGCTCAAGCATCTTGTGCACCACCAGAGCCTTCCACACATCATCATCATGTCCTCTCCGATGACCAAGACCGAGATCATCGAGGAGCTGGCAAGACTGGGGGGAGTTGCCTCCCAAGTCTTGGAGCCGCACCGAGTGCCTAGTTCGAATGGAGGAGCTTCGCGAGGCCCAAGGGCTGACATCCAATCCCAAGTCCAAGGCCAAGACTCCTCTTCAGCTCAAGATGACCCAGTTGAACGCCGCGTCTCGCAAGAAGAGCGATTTGATCAGTTTCTGTCACGAGCTGCAAATCCCCATGAGCGGTCACGAGACCATCCCAATCTTGCAGAAGAAGAAGGCTACTCAGGTCCTGTTGGATCAATGCGAGGCCACGGGAGCAGACCCAGTGGGCTTCGGAGTTCATGCAGCCCTCTCCTATCAGGAAGTGAAGATCTCAGAGCCCAACTATGCCAATTGGGTGATCACCACCTTCCAAGAGGAGAGGAACACGTGTCCCAGGTTGGCACGCCTGGCCCAGTGGCTCATTCAGGAGCAACGCCACTCCCAGAAGCCAGAGATCACAGAGCTCCAAAGTCAGCCTCCGATCCCTCGAGAAGTTTTGATCGAGAAGGGCTACATCAAGACCCCCAAGGGAGCAAAGGCCGCAGCTTCGATGACCTCGAAGCAATCCGGGGCCGCCTCCAGCAACATGACTGGCGTGACCTCACATGTTCTGAAGAACCTGACCGAAGCGGTGATCGAGCTGAAGGAACAAGTTCAGAGCCTGAAGACAGGCCAAGAACCTCCTCGCAAGAAGACCAGCCAGGCAAGCGAGCAGAGCTTCGAGATGATCCTGGAGAATCAGTGAGAGCAGGGACCATAGGTGCTAGCTTTGAGACACCATCCACCACAGTGCCCCCAGAGACTGAAGGCGGAGACCTTAGCTCACGGCTCAAAACCTTAGAACCTCAGGAAACGAAACACCTGAAAAACAAACGTGATGACATGATTTCACATGTGGTTCGTGAATTGGGAGCCAATGAGCAAGTCTTATTACTGGAAGTTGCATGTGGAGTGGATAGCATTCTCACAAGTACCATGCAGGAGCTTACCAAGTCCGTTAGTTCTGCCCAGAGGTTGTCTATTTGGAATGACTATGACATCTCTACTGGTAGAGGCGTAAAAGGTGTCCTTGATAAGATAGATCTTTGTGCGCCCGAACTTGTGTGGCTCTCTCCCGAATGTGGTCCGTACAGTGTGATGCAAAACATCAACCAACGCACTGCTGAGCAACGCTCGGACTTGGAAAATAAGCGGAAGCAAGCTCTGAAACAATACATGGGGTGTGCCATCATATACCAGTACTGTGTGCAACGTGGTACACATGTGGTCTGGGAATTGTCCCAGTCATGTCAGGCATGGCGTCTTCCTGTGTTGCAGAACCTCATCAAACGCTATGACCCGTACTTCGCTATTGTCAGAGGCTGTCAGGTGAATTTACGAAACCCACAAAAACATTTCATATCCAAGGGATGGAAGCTGATGACCACACATGAACCTTTGTCCATACGTATGCATCTCCCTTGTCATTGTGCACCTGGCACCTACCATGCCCCATGTGAAGGTAGCGTAGCGAGATCCACGGCATATTACACACGTGAGTTCGCACTTCGAGCGTGTCGGGAGATTTTGCGGGGTGGGAACCGGGAGCAATGGTTGAAGGAGTTGAAAGGAAAACCCACGGGTGGTGAGGTTTTTGGATTAGGAACGGTGTGTGTTTGTGAACACGTGAAACAACATGGTTCCCTGACGAATTGTGGCCATTGCACGCAAACGCTCCAGCAAGAAGTTTTGACTGTGGACAAACGGGACCAAGTTTTGAGACAACCTTTGAGTGAAGAGGACATCAAACGTAGATTGTATTTGTTGCATTCTGCTACCGGTCATGGTTCCATCCCTAGCATGGTCCAAGCTTTGAAACGAAAAGGTGTTGCGAAACAAGTGTTGGACCTTGCGCAATCGTTTCGATGCCCCGTTTGTGAAGAGAGATCGAAGCCTCAACCTCGCAATCTGGCTTCTCTTGAACCACTTCCCCCAAAATTCATGACTGTTGCGGCGGATGTGGGCCACTGGTACCATCCCGCCACCAAAGAAAAATGGCAGTTCATCTTGATGGTGGACGAGGGTTCACGATTTAGGGTCGGACGCATGATCCTTCAAGGTAAACAGAGGCACATCAGTGCTGGACAGTTTGTGCAAATTTTCCAGGAGGCCTGGGTCTCCTATTTCGGACACCCCCAGACTTTGAGATTGGACCCCGATGGAGCTTTCCGCAGCCATGAACTGGCAAGTTACTGCGATAGACACCAGATCTATCTTGACCTCATTCCCGGTGAAGCACACTGGAAATTGTCCGTGTGCGAACGCAGTATCCAAGCCATAAAACATGTCATGGCAAGTCTTGCAGCCGAATCACCTGCACTGACGGCGGAACAGATCCTTGCAGAATCTGTTCGAACTCTGAACCACAGAGAAAACGTGCGTGGTTTCACACCTGTCCAATACGTCCTGGGTCGAGCACCAGATGAACATGGACGCTTTTTCAACCCAGCACGTGATTTGGAAACTCCAGGAGTTACCGATGGCCACAGAGACCATGGAGCGAGATCAACGCCTGCGATTGTCAGCCGAAAAAGCTTTTTTGGATTGGGTGGCAACAGAAAGGATTCAAAGGGCCACCCACTCGAAACATCGAAGAGTGCTGGATTTTTCAGCAGGAGATCTTGTTTTCATTTGGCGCAAGCAGCTGACAGGTGAGGATGCCCAACAAAACAAGACTGGCCAAGGCCGTTTCGTTGGTCCAGCTCGTGTCCTCGCAGTGGAGCAATCTCGAGATGACCAAGGACACCTTCGACCTGGCAGTTCAGTCTGGTTGGTTCGTGGTAGACGTCTTCTAAAGTGTTGCCCAGAACAACTAAGACATGCTTCAGAACGAGAAGTGATCCTTACGGAGCTTCATGACTCAAGGGAGATTCCCACCTGGGATTTTCCCATAGTGGCTGAAGAACTGGGCAACAATGACTATGAGGATGTTCAAGAACAACCTACTGAAGCTGAATGGAGGAGAGCAGGAAATCCCCTCCATGAGTGGCAGCCTTCTTGTCGCATGTCAGGCAAGCAGCAACCTTCAGAGCCAGTGGCAGGAAGTCAGAAGAAATTGCGACTGGCGCCTCCAGCACCAGTGTCAGCAAGTCGTCCACGAAGTCGAAGTCCTCCATGGAGACCGGTGGCCTCAGGACCTTCATCCGGCTCAGGTCTACATCGACCTTCGGAACCAGCAGACACAGGTTTTCAAGCTGCACCTCATTGGACCGAGCTGGTTCATGTCGTATTTTTCAGAAGCTGCAAACACCAAAGGTGCACAAGACATGGTGCACCACGTTGAGATCGAAATGCCTTCTAGCAAGGCCAGTACAGAACGTGCTCTCAAGGATTTGAATGCCTTTTTCGTGGGAGCACTGGAGCGAAGAGCAGTGGAAATTTCTGAACGACGAATGACACCAGAAGAGAGAAAGCAATTTGATTTGGCAAAGAGCATTGAAGTAACCAACTTCCTAGCAGCCAAGGCTTTTGAGGCTCTACCTGCCAACCATCGCTTTCGTCGAGAGGATGCAGTGAACATGCGCTGGATTCTTACATGGAAAGTCAAAGATGATGGCACCAAGAAGGCAAAAGCGAGAGCAGTCTTGCAAGGGTTCCAGGACCCCAAATATGAAGAGCGTGCAACCCACTCGCCAACGACTACTCGCCAAACCAGACAGATGCAACTACAAATAGCAGCTTCCATGGGCTTTAGCACGAAAAAGGGTGACGTGACTGGAGCTTTTTTACAGTCCAGGCCATATCCAGATGACCTTCTGTGCATCCCATGTGCAGAAATATGCACAGCTATGGGATTAGCTCCAGGTTCCCTCACAAAAGTTCGGAAGGCCTGTTATGGTTTGGTCGATGCGCCACTGGAATGGTATCGCAGCATTAGCACATTCTTCAGCAAGTTGGGCTTACGCCGATGTTGGAGTGACCCATGCTGTTGGACCTTAGTTCAAGGTGGCAAACTGCGAGGGATCATTTCTGGTCATGTAGATGATTTCTTGTTTTCTGGAAGCCCTACGGACGAAGTCTGGTTGGCCATTGAAAAGGCCATCAAAGAGGAGTTCCGCTGGAGTGATTGGGAAGAGGGCCGTTTTGCTCAGTGTGGAGTTTTGATAGAGCAAGAACAAGATGGTTCATACTCACTGTCACAAAAGCACTATGTGGAATCCATTCCCGCCATCAACATCCGAGCTTCAAGAAAAAGAGAAAGAAATGCTGCGACAGATGACCTGGAAAAGACACAACTCCGAGGTCTATTGGGTGGCATCAGCTGGTTTAGCCAACAGGTGGCACCCCACTTCGCAGCAGATGTGGGCTTGCTTTTGTCCGAGGTCAACCACAGCACGGTGGACACTTTGTTCCGAGCCAATCGACTTCTTGACCAGGTGAGAAACATGAAGGAACAGAAATTGAAAATACACAAGATTGATTTGAACAACGTAGTACTCGTTGCTTGGGTGGATGCGGCTAATCAGAATAGGATTAGCGGTGGCAGCGCCCAAGGTGTCGTCATCAGTGCAGCCCCCAAGAGCCTGATGTCAGGTCAATGTGTTCCCGTTACCTTGCTTTCCTGGCAATCTTCCAAGATCGCTAGAGTATGTTCCAGTCCAGGAGCAAGTGAAGCTATGGCCGCCGTTCATGGCGAAGATCTACTTTATTTTTGCAGATTTCAACTTGGAGAAATGTTGGGATTTCCTTTGAAAATTCAGGACCCCAACCCGCTGGTGAATAGGATCCCAGGCTGTCTAGTGACTGACAGCCGGAACGTCTTTGACAAACTCAGAACCGAAGTCTTGAGCCCAAAAGGAGCAGAACGTCGGGTGGATATCACACTTATGCGCATTAAAGATGCACAAAACACAAATGAACTTAAAGTAAGGTGGGTGCATAGTGAAGCACAACTTGCAAATGGCTTGACTAAGGGCAAGGAGCTAAGGCAACTTTCGTTGTTCTACGATATGGATCAGTGCTGGAGAATCGTGGAAGACCCTACAATGTCTTCAGCGAGAAGACGGAAAGCCCAGGGCCAGACCCCTTTGGAGAATACATCCACGTCCAGCAGCAGCACACAACACATACAGAGCGACAACAAGTAGAGGTTTGCGTTTCCGGTTTTGGTTGGTGGTTTTCGTGTGTTTCTCAATACGGTTGTATGAGATCAGGTGGCATGCAAGAAGTACACCACTTCTTCAGGTACACTCATCGAACATAGATTCGTGAGCTTTTGGGATCGAGGGAAAGGTCGCTCGTGCTTGTCAGTCGCTCGTGCCACTGCCGTCGAAGAGCCATCGCCTCTCACCACTTTGTGCTTGAGAACTCCGGCTACCGTGCATATATATATATATATACATAGATTGTATACTGGCCGTCTGAGTGAATTTGTCTACTTGCGAACAAAATTACAGTAAATTGAACTTAAAGAATCTCGAGGGCAGAGTGGTAAGTGTAGCGGCATCACTTGCATCAGCAAGGTCAATAAATTCCAAGAGTCTCATGAACGGACGGCTCCGGCTGAATAATGCATGGCCACTTAGGCTTCGCTCAACTTTGGATACCCTCTCCTCTTCACCTGCGGATGTTTTGCATCTGTTCACCTGGCGTCCCAGCGGCTCTTGGCACCCAAATTCTGGCCTCCGCCCCATATAGTGTGTTGCACCATTCCATCCGTGCCTTGAAGACTCGTAGGCAAGCTGTCTTGGCACTCGACGTGGTTTGAGGCTGCACTGTCATTGTAGCGGACATCCTTCTCTCCGATTACAACCGTACCTTGCTTTTCCATTTTTCATGCCCCTTTCCAACATACTTCACCTTACGCTTTTCTGTGCTTGCTTGATTTTACCGCACGCCGATTGACACACCTCTGGCATTGCCTGGCCGCTATCCGCTCTGGCCGCCAACTGACTTTGTCGCCTTGGACAAAGACAACAAGGTCCAAGTGCAACTTCATTTACCGTTGCCAGCTTCCCGCTACGAACGTTTTTGTCCTCGCTGCCTACCAACTCGAAGGCAAAACACTGCCTAGCCTCATCATCTAGACTTAGCGCCTTTTCAGATTAAACTTGATCCTTGGTAATCCTTATCCTTTTGCAGACACTATCCTTTCTGCTCGGACGGGTATTTCATCGCTTGCTGGGTTCTTCTCAGTCCAGTCGAGTGCGTAGTTTCGACGACCTTCTTCTCTTACATCTCTTAGGCTTCCTGACCTCGTCGCTCTCGATTCAAGCTCGGCTCAACCTGATTTTCTGCAAGCTGCGCATTCTGACTTCGCATTGCGGCGCTTGATTTCCATCCCGACCGCCAACCGCTTTCACACACAGCCTTCGAGCCCTCGTGACCGCCCCTTTGCTTGCTGCTGTTCCTCTGCTTTTGTTCCTAGTAGCGTCCTTGCTCCGTTCGTAGCGATGCCCTTTGTTCCTAGTAGCGGCTTAGTAGCGTCCTTGCTCCTAGTTTGCCGTTTTGCCTTCCTTGCTTTCCGTTTGCATCCTTTCCCTCAATCCTCTCTACCCCACACCGCGAGCTTGGCGCCCGCTTGCTTTAACATGTGTCTGCTCACTGCTCTTTCCTTTGTACAACCCTGGCCCTGGCTTTCTCAGGTTGTATATGTGCGCTCAAACACTGAAATTGAAGGACACTCAAAACAACTCCCTGCGTGGGATCTGGACAGGTCATGAAGAAGCTGGGCATTTCTACTGAGTCTTGGTCCTGCACGGACATGCCCGGAAACTGAGAGAACACGTGAGCCGATCGTAGACATTCCATGACTGACAGACCATTGCCTTTAAAAGTGGATGTTGTCAAGTTCCATGTTAGTTTGGTAGCCTCACTTGACATCAGCATCCGCACTAAAACCGTAATTTTGTTCTTGTTCTTGGAAAGGACAACTCCAAAAGAAGAACGCCGTATTTTTGACCATTTTGTTTGTGGCATTGAATCGCTCAACTCGGTCTGACTCGGTCTGACCTGCTGAGGATGGTCCGGTCTCCAAGGAAGCTGTGAACGACCTTCTGAATGAGGCCGACGTGGTCCACTTCTTGCGCCCTCGGCCGCATCACGCGCGCGCATCGGATCCGTTCCCAGAGCACCGACGAGACCATTGCGGCTGAGCCGCTCTGGCTGAGCCATTGAGCTACTGAGCCACGCTGAGGTACAGCATGGATGTTGACGTGCTCTCCTTGGTGGACTCTGGGGCATGAACTTATATATATCGACAGCAGACATTAGCCATTGTTGATTCACGCTGTTGATGGCTGACATTGTCCAAGACATACAACGGCATACAAATTTATCAAGTTCATTTGTAGAAAAGCACCAGGGTCAGCCACGGCCTGATTAAAGGGCTTCTCATTTTGGATTTAATGAACGCTCACATTCATTTTCCTGAAACTGCGGAGTGTCACCATTTCTGGCACAAATGGTCTATGCCAAACAATCCACTGTGCCGTAGAAGAACTGCTGGTTTGGAATTTGGTCTGGAGTCAGAGTGCGATGTTGGAAGATATCAAACTTTAGAACATGGCAGATGGTAGTGGTTGAAGCTTTTGACGAGAAACAATGGTTTGAACTTCCTTTTGCTTCTAACAAGTCAGTAAGGATTCCCTAGCAGACTAGGCCGCTTATATATGCACGACCTAGAAGCCTGGCTTGGTTCCTACCATTCTCTGTTGTGACTGCGATTAGAAAAGAGCGGAGGACGCGAGGTTCTGGGGTTTCCACTCGTCGCGCTATCAACCTGTCCCAGCTAAGGAGATGATCGATCAAGTCTTTGAAGATGTTTTGGAGCGAGAGGGACGGCCACTGGAGTTTGGAGACCTGGCCACATGGCAGCGGTAAAGCGCTTTTTTGCACTGCTCCTGCCTGAAGTTTGTGGATCTTGCATGGTAAAAGACCGGATATACATACATATATATATATATATTATATAAGTAATACATGAGCTGGAACTAGATCACATGACATGGAGCCACCAGATTTGAGTCCCCAGTTGTCACCCTTGTGTATCTTCCAATGGTGGACATACAGAAGTTGTTGGAGTTTCTTTTGGCGACCTGGGAGGTGGAGACGATCATGAACATGCGAGGGAGCAACCCTGCCACTGTTCAAGACCTCAAAGCCTCCATCCGAGCCTTGAAGATGGGCTGGAAAGCAGAGATGTGCCACGGCAGAGAACTGTGCCGAAACACGGGTGGGGTCCAATTGATGATGTGCTTTTGAGTTAAGTAAGCCCAGTGGGGCCTGGAAGGGATGTGAATTGGGGGTGGTCCATCTGATTTCTACAGGTCTTCCACTCTAATTAGTGTGGATCCGGAGCCATGGCAAACACAGACCAACTTGTGCCGAATGGCAGCTCTGGATGGTCTTGGACCCTGCGCACAAGCCTCGTTAAACGCCTGCATTTCCACTCCTTTGTAAATGAAGGAGTTTGGTACTTCATTGTACTTCTTCCACGCCAATCTCCCGCCAACCTCTCAAGAATGGCCTCCACTGTTGCTAGTTTCTCATCCCAAGCCATGCCCCATGCTTCACGGCTCGTTGGACTGTTGAGGAACGCCCTCCGTGCAAGTCTTCATGGGCAGCTTCATTCGACGCTTGTTCAACTTTAGAGTGTTAACCAAGAGAGATGTGCGTTTCGCCTTGGTTCTGCCATATCCTTGTTTGATCTCACGAATCTCACTTGCCGATTCGAGAAGAACATTATAGATCATCTACATGACTTCAACTCTGTCCTGTCGCTTATTTGATTTGTTGTTCTTCTTGGGATGCAGGATGCTGAGCTTTTTTGGCCAGAATAGGTCCTGTGCTGCTGGAGTTTGCTTTGTGGAAGCACGCTATGTGAATGTTGGCAGGGACTTCAACGTTTCTTCTTTTGTTTGGATGCACAACATGTTTGTATTCACAAGTTCTGTTCTCCTTGGCAACACACACATGCCAGCTCAGGATCACTATGCAACTTTATGATGACAACAATGAAAAGAACAGTTCGGAAGAATATGAATGAGCTCATGTGGGGGGCTTTTGGAATGATCGACGCTCCTGAGTCCTGAGCATCCCGGCAATCGGCACCAAGACTTTGAGGCGATGAAATACTCGTTGCCTCAGAAGACTCGTCCGATGGATTGGAATACATCACATCTGGCTGCCTCGAAGGGGCCTTCAGCCGGACATGTGTTTCCTGCAGCTGAAGAAAGCCTTCAGGAATTGTTTCTCTCCGTCCTCTTTCTCACCACATGACGATTATGTGAAGCGGGCTGTCACAGGGTTGTCTTTGGAGGGTTCTCTGAAGGCCTGTTTGCTTTACCAGGGTGATGATCATGGTTCATGAAATATGGTTCACGAAATAAGCAATAGAGATCAATACGATAAATCAATGGTTGTTGTAGTGGTGGTGGTGGTGGTGGTGGTGATGGTTGTTGTTGTTGTTGTTGCTGTTGCTGTTGTTGAAAGTGAGCTGTACAAAACTGCCCATGTAATTGGCTGCGTCAACGGTGACACAACTTTCTTGGAGCTGCTCAAAGCGTTTGCAATGGTCTTGAATTGTCAGTTGCAGAAAGCGACAACGTGTGCTGCTTCAATTGACTGGCAGCTTTGTTCTCACAATGACAGGTAGCTTTGTTCTCACTGAGGTTGTAAATGATGTTGGACACACATAAACGTTGAAAGGCGCACCCGCTCATTCCATTCTGATTTTTGTTAACAACGAGGTTGCAGACCTTGATGTGCATGTAGTGCACATGGGGCGGTTTGTTATCGGGGCCCTAATTCACACACGAGTAAACGTATATATATATATATAAATACAATATACATATAATTACACGCATATATATATATATATATATATGCTATCCCCTGGAAATGACATTTCTTGCCTGTTTTGTGAGCATTAAACTGTTTTCTGGACATGTTAAGAGTCTCCAATCGTGAATCTTGGATCAGGCACTACTTGGAATAGATTTTGCCACAGGAACTGTTTGCAATGGCTGACCTGCCCCCAAACATGCAACAATGTCACTGAAAATTATGGAGAACGTTGCCACATTCCACACTTGAAAAAGCCATCAAGGGAATGACATGTATGGCAATGAGCCCAGAATAAAGACGATGACCAGAGATAAAGTTCTGAAAGTCATTGGTAAAACTGATGAATAATTCAAAACATCGGGAGCATCAAGTACACCGACACAAAAGTGGCGCAACTCCGGGCAGAAAGCAGCGAGGCTATACATTAGTAGCCATTGTTCAATGCTGGATTGTCTTTTTGTCAGATACTGTTAGGGTATAGTATTGGGTGGCTGTTTCTTTGCAACTTGAATAACATCATAGTATTTGCAATCCTTAATCTTAACGTGTCCGTATTGAAACCTCTTTAGAAGTCATATTGTCCTGCATCACCCCCCACCTCATTATTTAGTGCCCCCCTTTTTCTTCTAATTCTATGTATATAATCATTGGTCATTTCCACTAGTTCCTCAGAATCATAAAAGGAACTCACCTTGTTGATCCTGCCTCTCATCAGATTTGATATGTGCTGCCTCACTCAAACTTTCAATTCCAACATCCCTATATTGTTACTAACAAGCATTTTTGTGACTTTGTATCTTCACGCTGTTTGTCTGAAAGTTTGGTGTTGAACAGGTTTTTGTATATATCCTGTAAAATCAACATCATATCAGCAAATTCTTTTAAACACATACCATACATTAACAGATAGGGTTTATTAAAATAAACTACACATCATCACCAAGAACAAACATAATTCTCTTTGCTCATTTAAATGATGCTTATTATAGTTGGTATAGGCTCTTCATTCATCATCATACTCATTGAAGACTGGTATTTTTACTGCTTCCCCTCAAATTGCAAGTGTAAGCCTTGTTCTGGTCTATTTTCAAGGGTACCTCCCTGCTATAAAGACAGTTATGAAGTTTCCCAGCCGGTGGGATTGTTCTACAGTGGTTTTTGATTTCAATATCGATTCGTTATAATAGGATTTATGTAAAGGATGGCCAATTTGTTGGCTGAGAATGAGCATTGCTTTTGACATGTTCATATGTGTTCTTTTTGCCTCGACTGTTATACTGGCATCAGTTGAGTCTGTTAGATTTTGGATTCGCACCTTATATTTGACTTAACTTTTTCCGTTCTTCAGCTTGAACCTGACATTAAACTCTGAAATGATGCCTGAACACACCTTGATGTGAGGATTGTGTCCTGCCAGTTTGCTTTGATAATACAGTTTTGAAGGATCATTGCCTTAGTAAAACATGGTGTATTCATCCTTCTCAGTGTATTTCAGAAAGTCATGAATGCCTTCAATTCTAATGTGTAGTGTATTCCTTGTTCATACCAAGCTTTCTTTTTAGTGCCTTGATGTCGCTGTTTAGTTTGTAGGTGTGGTCATTCTTCGATTCATGCAAAACATGTTTATTTTTTTTTTGATGGTTTTGTTTTGACGGCAGGAGTACATCAGATTACCCATACCATCAAAGATTCTGGCTGATACATTGATTCCCTGAACTCTTTATTCATATAATTACTACGATCTCTTATCCTTTAGGTGTGTTGAGCCATCTATTGGCAGAAAACCGGTTACACACATGAATTGAGCCGTGTATAGCCTCGCTACTTTCTGCCCGGAGTTGCGCCATCCATTTTTGTGTCGGTGTAATTGATGCTCCCGATGTTTTGAATTATTCATCAGTTTTACCAATGAGTTTCAGAACTTTATCTCTTGTCATCGTCTTTATTCCGGGCTCATTGCCATACATGTCATTCCCTTGATGGCTTTTTCAAGTGTGGAATGTGGCAACGTTCTCCATAATTTTCAGTGACATTGTTGCATGTTTGGGGGCAGGTCAGCCATTGCTGACAATAGCAAACGGTTCCTGTGGCAACATTTATTCCAAGTAGTACCTGGATCCAAGATTCAAGATCCACGATTCAAGTCTAAAGAGCGTTCTTGAAATTCTTGAATCCAAGAACTTGGACTAGGAGAGACTCTGGATTCAAGAGCTTCTTTTTAGATCTTGAATCTTGAATCTTGAATCTTAGACGCTGCTCTCGTTTGCAAACACTTGCACATGTTTTGGTGGATTCTTCTCTCACTTCTGAGTTTATCTTAAGTACGCTCTGTAGATGTGTATATATTTTTATATTATATACTGTATATATCCATATATGGTACCACCCAAAAGATAGATGGCAGCCAAAAGAGCCCACATTTGGTAGACATTTTTTTGGATGTACCATATATATATATGTATAGGTCAAGAGCACATAGGACCTATCATCTCTGTGGAATGAACATGCATCTTCTTGGCCTGCGACAGAATAAGCACAGGTCTTGGTTTAAACAGCATACTCTAGCATCAGTTACTAGACCTGAGGCATATGTGTCTTTGCCTGGACCGCTAGTGCGCGCGTCTACCCAAGACAAGGACCCCTCACCTGGCCATGTTCTTTGCTGATTTTGTGATAGCTTCACAAGAAGAAGGATTGACACAGCTTCCACAAGCAAGCCCCACTGATTCTCAGATTTATCCAACACTTACATGTTCTGATATCTGAAATTTGTGTTGGCAAAGTGAGCCAGTGTGCCAGATGAAGCAGCATTCGACCACGTTCAAGGGACCCAGTTTGGGACCTGGAACCAAAGTTGCTCTCCGCCAAGACCTGTAGATTTGGCCGGGATGACCGACGAAAGAGAAAGGCTTCCCCCATGATGTGGAGAAGGAAGGCTCCGTAGGTCGTGTTCACTGTTCAATTGGCGGTCCCTATGTCATCTCCATGAGTCACAGAGGTGGGCTTGTGATCCAATGGCAACAGGATAGGACCCAGACACCTGCAGACTAGTCCATTTACCATTGGTCTAAGCATAGCGAGTGTCATCCATTTTAGCAGGAATGTCTTGCGGTTGGAAAACCATCCCCTGGCGCAACTACTTTTGGACATTTTATCCTTTGAAGAACAATTTTCTCTGCAAAAAGGTAATTTTTCATCTTTCCAACTTAGATGTAATGTTGGAGGGAGAGTCCAAATGTACAATTGTATGATTCATTGACACTTGCAATGTGCTAATTGCTGAGTAGAATGGATAGCTATGGCAAGGGTCATTGACAAGATTTAGCTGGTGGAAACTCCCACAGGCAAGGGCGTAGCAGCACCATTCACCAAGTGAGGGGCACCGAAGTCGCCGTAGCAGCAGGTAGCAGTAGCAGCAGGAGGAAGAGGAGTAGAAGGAGTAGTAGGAGTAAAAGGAGTAGGAGTAGTAGTAGTAGTAGTCATAGTGTGCCCCGCTCGAACTCGAACTCGAACTCGAACTCGAACTGAAACAGTTATACTTATAGATGAACTCAACCCTGAAAGGATATATGGAAGGAACCGAACTCGAACTCGATCTCGATCTCGAACTCGAACTGGAACAATTAGAAGTCAACCCGGTGGACGCATAGCAGGAGTCGAGCTCCAAAATCGCTGTCGTCGATTCGATTTCGATCTTGAACTCGAACTCGAACTGGTCCCTCCCCCCCCTGCGTGTCAAAATCGTCGTCGATTCTAATTCGAATTCGAACTCGAACTTCAACTGGTTTCCCCCCCCGGGGGTCAAAATTGTCGTCGATTGGAGTTCGAATTCGATCTCGAACTCCAACTGGCTTCCCCGCCGGGGTGGTGTAAACATTTTCGTCGATTCGAATTCGAATTTGAACTAATGCTACGTTGTCGTGGCTCCTTCCTGCTCTAAATTTTAGCCTCGGGTGGCCCACAAAAGGCATGCTACGTTGCAAGGGCTTCTTCCTTTTCTAAATGTTACTTTCGAATGGCCCACAAAAGGAATGCTACGTTGTAATGGCTCCTTCCTTCCTACTCTAAATTTTACCATCGGGTGACTCACAAAAAGAAATGCTTCCTTGTAATAGCTACTTCCTGCTATACATTTTACCCTCGGGTGGCCCACAAAAGGAATGCTACGTTGCGATGGCCTCTTCCTTTTCTAAATTTTACCTTCGAATTGCCCACGAAAGGAATGCTACATTGCAATGGCTTCTTCCTACTCTAAACTGTATCTTCGTGTGGCCCACAAAAGGCATGCCACGTTGCAATGGCTTCTTCTTCCTTTTCTAGATTTATTTCGAATGGCCAACACAAGGAATGCTGCGTTGCAATGGCTTCTTCCTATTCTAAATTTTACCCTCGGATGGCCCACAAAAGGAATGCTACGTTGTGGTCAGTTGGTTGGTTGCTGCTGGCGCCGCTGGCAGGTGGCTGTTGGTTGGTTGGTTGGTTGGTTGGTTAGCAGGTTTTTTGC